AGAGAGTGGAAGTCAGAAATGACATTTCCATTTCTTTCCACTGTCCACTGGCACACTGCAATTTGAAAACACATTCTCAAAAGTGAGCTTGATTTTTGGATACTGATTTTTCAAGTGCACAGTTTTATATGTCTATCCATAATGCAATGGACACGATTCTCATTGATGTCAAAGCTGCTACTCAGTATCTGTAACTCAAGTGTTAGGCTTCTAAAACTGCATACAAAAAAGTAGTCCAAGAAAGTATGTTTTTTCTTTTTTAATTGTGGATACCTGCATACTTGTGTTATCCATCTCTCTGATGCTGTTGGAACAGCTGTGCAAAATGCCTTGAAATCACTGGATGTGAATACAATATTTTTTATGTTCACGTTCTCCTTAAAAAGTTATATTTTCCTAATACTCAGTTTTCTTTGTTGCATTTTGTTATGTGCTATCCTAGTGAGTTTTTAGTATCTTCAGGAGAAATATACTAAAATCATTTATCAAAGTAAATATGAAAAGACTTGGTTTCTAGAGCTGAAAATATCTTGGAGCACAATATTTTTATTTTTTTAAAATTTTTGAGTTACTGACCTTCAGTAGCTATCAGAATGAGAACCACCACTGAAGTTAGAGTTGTACTTAAGTGCACTCATCAAGTGATTATGGCATAAATGTTTTCCGTAACGCTCAATAACGATAAGAGGCTTAAAAATGTCTGCTGTCCAAAAATTTCTCGTCTTAATCCTTGTATCATATAGTATTTAGGTGTTGGGGGGTTACAAATGCAAATCAATTACAGGTAGAAACAATCCAAAATTAGCACATATAGTTCTAAAACACTAAAGAGCAATCACAATTTATACTGTTCTGAGTTTATTGGGCAGCATTTTTCCCTATCCATTCTGCTTGTGGTCTGCATCAATTTCAGTGAGTATAGAAGTCGAGAGAAATATTAGCAAGGCAGATCCCATGAGAAGTTACTTATTAGTGCACAATGGGTGTAAAGCTCTACTATCCTGATTTGCTGCATATACCTGTTACAGAAGTTGAGGCAATTTTATGATGGCTCCACTCCCCATAAGGGAATAAAAGTAATGTAAGGAAGAATAATAGAACTGAAATGCACTTTGGCAATCCACCTGATGCAAACACCTCCATCCCTCTGGTCCTATCCTTTTAGTTACAATCTGGAAATGTCATGATAGAGCCATTTACCTGGTTTTACATCAGCCTCAGGAAGCCAAGGCGGCTGTTATTTTGCCTTTCTGCACAGCCACGATGACTGAAGGAGTCTTGCTTCATGTAAATCTGTGACAGATTACTTATTCATGCCAACATTTCCAAAGCTTTTACAATTTAGGCACAAGTCAGAGGACGAGCTAGGAAGAGAACAAAAAAAAAGATGATTGTGTTTGGATTGGTGTACACATTGCTAGGATTTCACAAATAACCTGTAAAATAAATAAAGCAGTCATTTGAGAGAATATTCCAAGGAATTTACCTTTCTGATACTTGGTTGATGACATATGAAGAATAATTCAACATGCAGAATAGTGAGGACATAATAGTATATCATGCTACTAGTATACAGTGAATTTGCATTTTTTATTGCTTTTATATGGGGAGAAATGCAAAGAATGTAGCACTGTGTTACACTGCTGATTACACTGCTTGGATCACTTGGATCTAAGAATGAGTGGTTTACAATCTGCATTCTCAGAGCTTAAGCCATTGCGTGAGTGTTTGCCCTTTGCCAAAATTCTGAAAGATGTCTGCATTAGAAATTTTCACTGCCAAAACTTGTCACAGACATCTGGCAATCCTACTATATCGCTGGCTCCCAGGCAGTCTTAGCTGCTTGTATCAGTAACACATATTCTCATTGCAAAAGGCGGTTTTGCAGAAGACATGATGTATTTGTATGTGGAAGCCAGAATCTTACAGCTACACGCATCACTAAGTACCTGGAGCACGTCTGCACAAGCATTTTGCCTGCACAAGTAAATTATGTGACATTTTTCCTATGATGCAGAAAAGAAAGCTCTTAAGATTAAAAATGAGGAAATTAGTGAAAACACAGAATAAGTCAGTTGGGAAAATAAAATTTTATTTTGATTTTATTATTCCTACAAATAAAACCTCAGCTTACAGCCTCATAATTTCACTTCTGTTTACAGGGCTACTTACCATATGAAATATTTAAGATTATTCAAGTATGTCTAACTTCCACCAATCACAATTACATGGAAGAAAATAATCCCTGCCCCATAGGTATAGCGGCTTCCAGAAGTGAAAAGTTAAAAATAGAAAAATAATTTTATATACTATGGAGCTCGTATTTAATTTTCAGTGGTTATATCAGGTAGTTATTTTAACAGGAAAGGTTAATATGTCATTGCAACTGAAAATACAACACTGTACTGCAAATTCTTGTAATATTGCCATGATATATGCTATATTGTTATTGCATTACCCATGATGGAGTCTTGATATACAGGGTTACTAAAGCTGTATGGATTTTCATCCCAAAATTTAATCATTCACAGTCACTGCTCAGATATGGAAAAGTAGTAGTAGTATCCCCATCCTGTAGCTGGCAGTAAGCAGATTAAAAGATCAGTACCTTTTTCATTGAAATGTGTGGGAAGACCTCTAATTTCGTGTAAGCAAGATCAAGTTCCAGGAAGTTCTGAAATGTACTGAAGTGTTTGTGGCAGAAATACAGAACTTTGATCTTGTAGTCCTAGTTCAGATATCAAACACTAGATTGTCTTCCTTACTTCTCTCTCCAAAACAGCTGGGAAAGAGAAAATACACAGTAAAGATAAAAGAAGATAAATGCAAAGGAAGGAAATACTTACTATAGAATACTGCTATCTTTCACTAACTTAATTTCAGTCCTCTTTTAAATACTTATTTCTTAATAAGTTAATATCTTAATAGCAGGATTAGAATTAATAAAGAGGAATATCCAGACCTCTGTGATTAACATGCAGAGGCTAATGAAACAAGATTAAGAGAAAATGAGCTGGTATATTTTCTTTGGAAAATACAGCATATTTGCATTCCTCTTTTGCTTTATATTTTGTCCTGAAGTTCTATCAGAAGGATGTACAGAGAGTGGCTTATCTTTCATAACAAATGTTAGTATGGACTATAGGGCAGTCACCTGTGCATAAGGGTAAATAAAACAGTGAGCCTTGAGAAAAGAAGGCTTAGGAGAGACCTTATCGCCATGTTCTAGTATTTAAAGGGTGGCTACAAAAAAGATGGAGACTTCCTTTTTACAAGGAGTCACATGGGAAAGATGAGGGGTAATATGTACAAATTACTCCTGGGGAGATTCTGATTAGGCACAAGAGGAAAATCTTTCACAACGAGAACAATCAGCCATTGGAATAATCTCCCCAGGGCAGTGGTGGATTCCCCAACATTGGACACACTTAAGACTCAGCTGGACAGGTTGCGAGGCCATCTTGTCTAGACTGTGCTTTTCCCAAGAAAGGTTGGACCAGATGGTCCTTGAGAACACCTTTCCAACCTGGTATTCTGTGGTCTATAATTTGATGGTAAAAATCTTATGAGCAGGGCATGTCCTTTGGATATATGTCTTTGCAACTCCTACAATGTACTAGGGCTTTGTCTTTATTTTTAGGCACTAAGATAATAAGCAATAAGGTAAGAAAGAATTTGGCACAGTCAAAAACTAAAGCAGGATTTTAAAGATTTCGAGGCTTCTAAGATAAAGAAGTAGAAATAGTTGCAGATAAAGGAATTTTCCAGCAGAGTAGTCTGTTACTTGTATGAAAAGTCACTGAAAAATGAGAATTATTAAAAAGATAAATTCCTTAGGACAGGAACCTCACCTCCTTATCTGTGTGTAAGTGTGCATATAAAAACAGAAGTAAACTGACATTTGAAGAACGAAAAAGCAGAGACAAGATGTCTGTGTGTGATTCCAAGGTACCTAAAAATGCAATAGAAGAAAACAGGAGCATATTATTCTCTGAAAAAAATGAAAACTTAATTTAGTGAAGCTCTTCATTAGCTGAGAGAATGAGTTGACTAGTTAATGCAATTAGTATTCTTCATTTGAGCTGTCTCACTAACTAGGTCATAGCAAGAAAATATCTGGTCAAATGGAAACAGAGAATTGCTCTAGTAAAAATACAGGTTTAAGAGTATATATGTTTACCTGTGAGGTACATTATGATAAACAGTAAGAAAAATAGTCCAGAGTGGCCTATATTCTATATTCACATTTGACATATGTGTTTAAACCTGAGATGAATGATTGTCCTGAAATTCAGGTAGTGGGAGAGACTTCATGTGTGACATTGGAATATCACATATATTTGTCATCAGAACTAAGCCTACTATGACATGGTGGTTTGTTTTTTTTCCTTTTCTTTGAAGGGAAATATCTGGGAACAAATTCTGAGAATACCCTTTCTCCTGGAAATAATTAATGCTGTCCCTTTCATCATCACGGTAAACATATTTGAATTAATATTTGCACATTGCACTTTTATAGCTGCACAAATACTCTTAATTTTTGTTGAAGTAAATTTGAGTCTTATGTGGATGACAAATTTGCGCCTGTGGGAACAGAAATTTCTCATCAAGAAGATAGTTTGTTACTTGAATGAAGTAATAATACAGATCACTTTCCCCTTCCTCCCTGATAGGGGACAAAAAAACCCCCAAACCCTCTCACTCAAAACTACAGCACAATCAAGAAAATAAACCATCAACATATAAAAATATAAGAATCTCTGGTGTCTACACTGAAAACTGACTGTCCTTATTTTATCAAATTATTTTACATACAGTTCATTACAAAGGAAGAAAAAATGTTATTTAAAGCCACATCTCACACTAGAAACACATTAATAATAAGTATTTTCCCCAAGCATTTCATTACTGCTTGAATAGAAAATCTCTATTCTTGAATAGAAAAGCTTTAAATGAATTTGTTAATTTTCCTTTCAGATTTTCTGGCCAGTCCTAAGAAACCTGTTTATTCCTGTATTTTTAAATTGTTGGCTGGCAAAGCATGCTTTAGAGAATATGATTGTAAGTATGAAAAAGGAAATAACTATTTTAGAGTTTCTGGGTTTTTTTTAGTATATTGTCTTTAGTGGGATTTTGGCAGTACAGTCCACTGTCTAATTTTAATAGGAAGCTAACCAGATCTGTATTTAGATTATACAAATGGTCAAGCGTTACTAAACAGATTTCTGCATCTAAATTAGAAGAAAGTAAGACATCAAGTGAAATCTCAATTAGTGTAAATTGTTACTGTGCCAGTAAGGGAAAGTTGGAATGGCTGGTTCTTTTGCTACTCTTCCATTCATACACAATTGCAGGGAACTCAACTGCTATGCCTTAATTGCAGCTTGTAATTTGTAAGTTAGACGTGAGCAGACAGACCTTAAGGCAGCATGCAATAGTATCAGAATTGTGCCAGGATGAACAAAGAACTAGTTAAATAATCACAGGATCACAGCTGGCTCTTTTGCACCCTTCTATATGATCAGCAATTTCTAAGTGCATTTGAATGACTGCATTTTATCAGGGCACTATATAATTCCTCTATAGAATCAGCTTATGTGTTATTAATTCAAAACCAAAAATAACACCTATTTTCCATTAATATAGAATGATCTTCACAGAGCCATCCAACGCACACAGTCTGCAATGTTTAACCAAGTCCTCATTTTAATATCTACCTTACTATGTCTTATCTTCACTTGGTAAGTGGCCAAAACCCCTTTGTCTTTATTATATATATTGGCTTTTCTTCTTTTACTACATGGTGATAAAACAGACATTGTGAAAAGCATGCATTGAAATAAAGACAGTAATATATTTGGAGTGAAAGTGTTAACTGGTACTTTGTACTACTGGGGTCCTGATACACTGGGTTTGGAAACAGAATGTGCGTGCATGGGAAAGGGAATCATTCTCACTCTGAGGAAGGAAATACAGATGTTGCAAAAACACAGGAGAAAGGAGTGGGGGAAAATGTACATATGTACCAAGAGTGCAATCCCAGCAGAAAAGTCACTCAAATTTGAAGAATACCAACAGAAGTACCCATACCAAGGTCACCTTCCTCTGACTAGTTGGACAGAGAGAGAAAAAGATGCAAGATCTCAGCCTTATCACTGCTGACTAAGCCAGGTTGCCATAAGTAGTACAGGGGGCAGCTGTTAATAATCTAGATTAAAGAAGGTGTAGATGTTATTACGCTAATTACAGAAAGTGATAGATGATAGGTTCAAGCAACCAAAATGTGTTACTCTGAAGAACTTTTTGCTGCAGGATGTTGAAAACTTTACAGGAATTTGGGAAGCATGGAGACAAAAAATCTCTTGAGGGCATTAAAAGTAAACATACTTGGTTAATGAAATTTGTGAGTTACAGGTTATTGGAGACTAGGAAAAGATCCACAGGAAACACCACTTGATTGCCCCATTTTATACTATACTTTAGGGATCTGCTGTTGACCAGGGCTGGAGACAGGTAAAGTAGACTACATGAATCTTTGGTCTCACCCAGTATGGTCATGCCTATGTTTGTATAAATGGATAGTCGTTATAATGTATCTTGGTAGTTTACTTAGCATACAGAATTTTTGCATCAGTAGTGTCTGTGAAGCGAGTATCATATACAAGGGAAAAAAAAATAGAGGAAGAATGTGCGTGTTACAAGACTGTGTGTGGAAAGGCTAAATCACCTGTATTTATTTTGCCAGACAGGATGCCTTTCGGTCAGCACACTGATAAAGTTTAGTCTGTCATTTTGGAGACAGTGATTTGATTTTCTCTTACTTTATTTCTCTAGCTTGTTTTTCTGATAGCCACTGTTATGTGCTGCGTAACGCTTTTGGTAATAACAGTGTAAAATAACACGTGGCCTTTTCTAGTCTTGTCCCTCTCTGTCCTTTATTCAAGGAGTTTCTTTTAGCCAGCAGCTAAATGAATGCTCCAGTTTTACCCTTTATGTGGCCGCACAACTGAATAGTGACAAATGCTGCCAGTTCTAAACAGTAAAGAATAGTGAGATTAAATTTCCTATTGAATATTATGGCCCTTTAAGAGGAAATTTTATATGAATAAGGAGTACAATACTTGAATGCATAAAATTGTATTGCTGTAGGACATGGACATTTTAAATTAGCTCTAATTTTGCTTTTTAATTGTTTTACAATACAAAATGCTTTTTAGTAAATACGCCTTCACCTTTTTTACTAACCTACTTCAATATTTTACTCAGCTGCTGAACAAAATGTGTATCCAGTTCTCACTGAAGTAAGCTCGTAACAAGAATGTTTCCTAAGAACTCACTGTGGTAATGACTGGTTGAATAAGGTATAGGAGCTGCAGCAAACCAGAACATCATGCTCACCACCAGGCATTTTGGTAACTGAAAGTAAAACATGCAGAAAATGGCAAGCTCACCTACAGTAACTATGTCTGGTCTCAATAGCTGCAGATACCAGCTCATTATAGATCATTATATACTGACCTAGTATTGACCCTGCTAGACTGCAAAATAAGCCAAATAGGATGAAAACACCCAGTAATGCAATAACAAAGGAAATGAAGCACTTTTGCAATGACTAAAAATAGTTGTTCAAGCATCTGCAGCTTGCCTAAGACTGGAGTTATGTTTAGGCAATTGTTACTGTAGCTTATATGAATCCACATAATGTCATTTTTACACTTTTTTACCCATCTGTGTATGACTTCACATTACAGAGTATATTTGTAAAATATCTAAAAAATTCTCTATAAACAATTAAAATCAATTAGCTTAATGTCTTTGATTATGCTAACAGTGTTTCATTTTAAGAGATACCACTTAGAGCTTACATGAGGTTGTTCATGCTGAAAGAGGAGCGAAGTCCATTTCTGGAATCTGTCCACTTAAGGATGGCTTTCACCAGGCTGATCTTTCACATTTTCTGCAACAGCAAGTAGTAACCAAGTGTATCCCCACACCCGCCTCCCACCCCCCACATATGGAAGCCAGCGCTAGACTTATCCATACATGTAATAGAGCACAACATGAAACAATGTTGAGCTAGCACTGGTCTGTTTTTGTAACCATGTTTTGCTTACATTTAGAGATACTGCCTTGGTCCATGAAGTACCATAGCTTCAGGAATGCAAAATTAATAAGCCTAGATTAGTGGCTTGAATACGGCACTTACAGTTTCAGAGCACTTTCCCCTTAAGAGTATATTTGGTACCATGGGGACATGCTCATGCTCTGCTTTTGGCGCCACTGATAACTGCCCTCACCCTGCCTCCACACCGACCTTTAAGGTTAATGAGTTAATGACTTTCAGGCACTGTGTGGATTACATTGTAACGCCAGAGCCCTTCTTAGTTCCTGGTTGACAGGCTTGCTTTTAGCATCTACTTCAATAGGAACATCATCTTCTCAGCACTTCTGAAATCAATATAACTTTACAACACTAGGTTCTGTTTAAAACCATGCTCTTTTATCAGACACATAGAAAGAGGTGGCACATAGCTTCATATGGGGTTTACATCATTTTACAAGTCCAAGATGGTATGAAGCCCAGTGAGACAGTGCTTTCTGCTTCCAGTTTTTACCAGTTCAGTTAAATTGGTGTACTAAGAAAGCAGAGCAAATGTGCTTTCTTACTGTTTCAAGTGAGACTGAAACCTTTCATAAGTCTTTTGATGGTCATTTCTGTGACAAAGTTTAAAATGAATAAATGCTGAAATATAACTACTTTCCAGTGATTAGTTCATATCTAAAAGATAGTCTCCTTAATAAATTTTTCAGAGTTTTGGGTATGTATTTAACATATTTAAAGTAGGTTCTAGCTGAGGTGCAAGAGAGATGCTTTCTTTACTTCCTGATGCAATAACAGAAACCTGTAGTTCTGTACAGTGTACAAAATAGCTGGATATGTACAAGCATATTGGAGCTGATGTCTCCACTGATAATTCTGAAAGTACAATTTTGCTGCAGAAGGTGTATTATAGGATCTTTTCTGAAAGCTCGTGTGAGCAGAGTAAGAGAATATTTATATTGGTAGATGCTTATGTCTCATCTTTGTATGGGTGCAAGTTCAGGGAGCAGGAACGTGCCTCTGCCACCTGTCTGTCTAGCCAGAACTAAAATTATGCACTCTCAAATCGGAGGAACTGTTCAGTCCCAGTCACTTAGAAGTGCCTTAGCACACCCGGGACCCTGGGGAAGAACCTGGCTGGACCTCCTGGTCTCCCAAGGGTTTACAAGGGAGGGAGAAAATTTGGTATGTCTAAGCCCAGTACATTTTTACTTGTTCTTCTAGTGTGTAGACAATAGCATTGCATCTATTACCATTTGACTGATTGTCTTTCTCAACAGAAATTTACTTTAAAAATCAACTTGAGGGATCTATATTGTGTACAATAACTGCAAGAAAACAGTATATCTATAGAAAACATTTAAAAAAGAATGCATAAACGGACCTCTTCCTTAACTTTGCCTCCTGTCTGCTGTCCTTGTTTCAGCTGGGATAGAGCTAATTTTCTGCCTAACAGCTGGTTCAGTGCTGTGTTTTGAATTTAGTATGAGAAAATGTTGATAGCATGCTGACGTTTTAGTTGTTAAGTAGTGCTTGTCCTAAGTCAAGGACTTTTCAGTTTCCCATGTTCTGCCAGTGAGGAGGTGCACAAGAAGCTGGGAGGGAGCATGTCCAGGACAGCTGACCTGAACTAGGCAAAGGGATATTCCATACCGTAGGACGTCATGCCCAGTATATAAAGCAGTTGGCCCTGAGGGTGAATCGCTGCTCAGGCATTGGTCAGCGGGTGGTGAGCAATTGCATTGTGCATCCCTAGTCTTTTCTTGGGTTTTATTTCGCTCTCTTTTTGTTATCTTCCTTTTTATTATATTTTATTTTATTTCAGTTATTAAACTGCCCTTATCTCAACCCACAAGTTTTAGTTTTTTTCCGATTCTCCTCACTCTCCCACTGAGGAGGGGAGGAGTGAGCGAGTAGCTGTGTGGTGCTTAATTGTGGTCTGGGGGTAAACCACGACATCTGCATATAATAAGTATTTTCAAAATAATTCTACCATAGCTAGCAGAAAACCCACAGAAAATGAATTAAATTCTGCCTCGTGCATCACCAGCAAACCCGCCAGTTACATCTCCACAACAGAATCTTGTAAGTGGTGGTTACACATGTAGATGCATTCCAATTTATGTCTTATAACTCAGGTGTAAGCTTTCAGATGAAAAGTTAATATAAATAATCTAATGTTTACAGCTAATTGGCTAACCTCGAAATTTTTAGATATTGTTATTCAAGCTGTCCTTTGCACTCAGAATACAGTGGGAAAAGGCTACATCTGTATTTTTGTACACAGTTGACAATTTTCAATGTTATTACAGAACAAACTAATCACAACAAAATTTTTGCTCTATTCTGCTCTTTGATTTTTCATGATAATTGTTTATTGATATGGGGGTAGAATTCATTTGCAGATCAATAAATTCATAAGACCAACTCAATGTGTGTGTAATTTACCGATTACATACAGGGATTTTTTTCCTCTTTTCTTCTGATTTCAAAGACATATTAAGCTATCCAAGAATTTTTCTTTTTTTTTTAATACCTCAGTGGCCTCCTACCCAGAGCAATTATACTAAAAGATGTGTACTCCTATATGACACTGTTCAGCAGTTACTATTGTTAGAGTGCTAGTGAAAGTTACCGACC